GTTAACACCCCCAAAATCCTGAATGTCTTTTGTTATTAAAATCAAAGGTCGTCAATAGAGATCAAATTAAATGTAAAAATAAATGATTTTAACAGCATTGTTTTTATCTGTATGATAAACAATTTTGGTACTGTGTTGGGAACCAACTGAGAAGATTTACCTTAACCAGGTCTGAATTTCCTTTACATCATGTAAATGCTAAACAACTGCTGAGCATCTTAATTTTCCACCGAGCCGTCATCTCACTCCGGCTGGCTGTGTTTGACTAGCAACTGAAGGCCTGCCATTCATCACCAGACTCCGCCTCTTTCTCCTTAATATCATTTCATTTCCATCACTCGGCGAGATGCGGACAGGCAGGGTCATCCGTCGGTGTCAGGTCCACGCAAACAGGATGAATAAATGGGAATGCTTGAGTTCTGTGAGTGGAGGAAAAGGGAGAACGCAGTTCACGCTTCCACCTCCGACAGCTTGATGAATTGGGGCGGCAACAGGCAGAGCTAGACCCATAATTCAGCATGTTATAAATCCCGGATAAGGATGAAAGACTGCCACAAAAGACATTACTGTTCATTCCATCTAATGAGCCAGTACATCAGCGCCTGGAGACGCTCACCCACCACCCGTCTCGCAAAACACTTCTTCACCCGTCCCTCGTACAAAGACTATTCTGATTGTTAAATACGGGATCAATAGTGTAAATAATCTATTTCATCTCCCTGCTGATGTTACAAAACCAACTTTCACTCTTTCGTCACCGAGACATACATCTCGTGCTTGACAAGCCATCTGCGGATCGATGCAGTGATAAGTTTAGCTCTACTTCCTCTTCAAACATCGGACCTTCTCTGAATTAAGCAGATTGATGAGGTCTATGAATACAACGCCTCCCATGGTACCGACAGCCATTTGTGCGTATGTGCATTTCATTGTCACATTACTCGTCCCTGTAGACCTCAAACTCAAATCCCCACTAGCTGGATCTGTCTCGTATTTTCACTACATAAAGTCCTGCTGGAGGCCTGACAAAAGGCAGTTTAAAAAGACAGTCGTTCTCACCAGGGTTATTGTAGTTAACTACAAACACTCAAAAAATCTTTACTTGAAATAAAGTAAACATTAACTGAAGTAAAAATATAAAAATTTTAACTTTTTTTATTTTAGCTTGCCAACACAACATTCCTCATTTTAATTTAGTTTAGCAGATGTACTAAAATAACTCAAATTATCGAAATGCACACACACACACACACACATACATAATGGAACGACAGTTTTAAAAAGTGATTTTCCACTATTATTTACAAAAGGATCTGCATTTTCATGGGTTTAAATAAATAATATTTGGTATAAGAGACACAACTTTTTTTGGTTGTGCATCAAAACCTCACACCTTTCCTGGTAAAAAAAAATTACTTGATTTTCAAAAGTCAACGAATTTGCGACAGCTGAATGTAACATTTTTGACAGTCTCTGAGTAACATGTAATTTATTTAAGCAACAAAATAAACTTCAATCCGTAAAAAAAAGTTTAATAAACTACTCAAAAAGCATTTGAAAAATCAAACATAGTTCACCCCTTACACACGTTATCACGTCCGTCAAAAACTTGGGCTAGCTGTCGGTTGGAATATTAGAACTAAAAACATTGACATAACACACTCATAGGCATCAATCACTTCACTGATTTGCCGGCTAAGAAATAAATAATTATTACCTTACAATTCCATCTGTTTTCAAATCCACATCATTTTAATATCACAACATCGATGTCTGTCAAAAATAACGCGCACAATACCCGGTAGTATTTACGAGAAGAAGAGGTCCAGTGAGTGCACACATTTTCTGGAAAACCCACAATGCCGGATGTTTTGACTACATCGCTTACATCACTACATCCAAGAAGAGGGTGAACATGGCGGCCTGAGCGGCTTCAACATGCTGTCTTCAGAGATGATAACGCAAGTAGGCTAACGCTTAACGCACGTGAGTATAAATTTGCTCTTTATTCACAGAAATTGTTTCGGAATGTTAAAGAAACTGAGTGAAATACTTCACACTGCATGTTAAAGAGAATAAATGCCAATCCAATTGAAAACCTTTACAGGGTTAGTGAACATCGTTCAACGTGTTGGTTTCGACGGATCATTTCTATGCACACTCATTCTGAGTCTGATATTCCTTATTAGAATATTTTCAACAATTTTCTATTCTTGACGGATTTTTTTAATGTAAATAATTTTGGCAAAAGATGAATTGTTAAATAATTGAAATGAGTCCCTGTAGTCGTCCTATTTGACTCTCAATTGCTGACCAGTGATATTTACAAAATATAGTTTGAATCCTATCTTCTCAGTTGTTTAAAAGATTAAGGCAATTATCAAATTTGATAAAATGTTGTTTCATTTTCCAATAAAAGATGATATATTTTTACATGATTTGTTATTTAATTACCACTTAGCGGATTCTGAATTGTGTGTGTGTGTGTGTATATATATATACTGTATATACACTGTATATATATATATATATATATATATATATATATAGTAAACTACACTGTAAAAAATGAATCACATTTTTTTAAATAAATAACTTACATAATCTTATATAAAAAAAGTTGAAAATTGCTTTAACTTATTTTGATGAGTAAAAGTAACATAAAAACATAGTTTTTTACACTGTGCAAAAATTTACAAAACTACACAACAAAATGACTAAAACTTTAAAATGATAATGAAAACAAAATGTTAAAAAAGCTTATTCAAAATATTAATAAAGACTATAATAGTATCTCAGTGATACACTAAAACAGCAGTGGTTCTCACTGAAAGACTTTGGTCAAATGTCCCTGTCAATGAAGCATCCACAAACCAGATGCAAAGGAAGAGGAGAAAGATCAATACTAATCATTTCATTGTGTCGCTTTGAGGTGGTGGGCAGTGGAATGACACATTGCTAGTGTTTTCCAGTATCACTGAAGTTCTAGTGTTAAAAAAAAACAGCACCAAAGCCCAGCTTGGCTGACCATAGTCTAAAATGGATCCTTGGAAAAGAAAGAAAGAATGAGAGAACAAGAGACAGAGAGGCGAGTGTACCGCCAAGGGAAAAGAATCTGACTTCAAAAACAGCAGCACTCAGAAAGAAATGCTCGGCTAAAGAAGAAAATACAGATATTACCAAGAGGCCTGATAATCATTGGGATAATGAGCTCTGGATTGAATTTACAGGGATCTTTTTGCAGCACTGAAGTGTATGGCACTGTTCTGATTAACAAATGCAGCTCTATGGGAGAAGGCACAGTGCATGGGCATTTTAGTGTAGCAAGCCAAGCAGGACATTCTTTTAACACATTCTCAGGCCATGAGATCACAAATAAAGGGTGCTAGTTTGCTTGTGAAATGTAACAAACTGCATAAAATGTGTATTGTGTGGGTGATTGACAAACTATAATTGTATACATAGGTTACACATGTCCATATTTAAAGGAAGCTTCTGCATTTGGTAATTGTGAGCCAATTTTAGCCTCAAAGCTTTCACATGACATTTACTCCATACCTATAAAACCTATAAAATATGTAGGCCTATATGACAAAAACAATATATAATTAAATAAATAATATACACTAGCGTTTTTGATCCATAAGATTTTTAATGTTTTTGAAAGACGTCACCAAGCTCACAAAGGCTGCATTTATTTGATCAAAAAAAACTATAACATTGTGAATTATTACTATTTAAAATAGCTGTTTTCTATTTTCATACGTTTTAAAATGCAATTTTTTCCTGTGATGGAAAAGCTAAATTTTCAGCATCAGAAATAATTCTAATATGCTGATTTGGTGCTTTTGAATATTTTGTAGCATTATAAATGTCTTTACTTTTGATCAATTTAATGTGTCCTGGCTGAATAAAAGTATTACCGGTAGTTTCTTTAAAAAAAATCTTAATGGCCCCAAACTTTAAATAATAAAAAAATGATTTTAATCATAATGTTAAATACAGAAATACACACACACACACACACACACACACACACACACACACACACACACACACACACACACACACACACACACACACACACAGACACACACACACACACACACACATTTCCTCACCAACTCACAAAAATATGCAGTCAAGTCGACAGGGACCTTTTACCATGCACTGCAATAATACACCCATCCTTGCACCGTTGTGCTTTCAAGTTTTATGGGGACATTCCATAGACATAATGGTTTTTATACTGTACAAACTGTATGTTCTATCCCATTAACCTACCCATCACGTAAAACTTTCTGCATTTTTACATTTTCAAAAATCATCACTGATTTATAAGCTGTTTTTATCATGGGGACCAAAACATTTCCCCACAAGGACAAGGATTTTGGATATTGCCATCGTTGTGGGGATAAACCTATAACGTAGGGAATACCTGAACCACACACACACACACATCTTACCAGAGTCTTGCCAATAGAAATTAATTCTCTACCACATTATGTAGTACATCCCCATTTTACCCATTATCATAGTCTCCATCTTGCCTCAATGACACCACCCATGCTATTTCTAAAATGACTTTTGGGTTCGATAAATCAATTGCTAATTAATCTATTGACATCACCCTGTATTTTGAGTGTGTACAGATGCGTCACCCAAATTACATAATTATTAAAGGAAACCTTTATAATCTGACAAAACACACATCAAAAAATGTAAACACAATCCTCATGAGAGTAAGAAACCAGATTAGCTCCAACATTTTTTTACAGAATCAAGTTGCACGTGCTTCCATACACATACAACTTTTGCAAATCTGGGTGTTGTGCAGGTAGCATGAAAAAAAAGCCATAACAACGTTTTTACTAATTAGTAAAACTCAAAAGAACATAGATGCATTGAGAAGCTTGTGTGTGAATGAGGGGAGCGAGGGAAAGAAAAGATAAGAGTTCAAACTGCAGTGCACAGTGACAGAGAGAATAGAAAATGCTAACCACTTTGTCCTCCTTCTTCTCCAGCATCACAGGGCATCACAGTGAGAGAGAAACAGGATGGTCAGTCGATGGTGGGAAAGAACAAGAGAGAAAAGTATGAAATGACATCATTTATGAAAACATATGAACAAACCAAACCAAACAAACCATTTAGATGCATAGTGGAATAATAAGCAAATACAAAAGTTGTCCAGTTACAAAACAAAATTGTCTTGGAAAGTTTTACATTAAATATTTTGGATTTATTCACTTTTTCCTCACTAATCTTTAAGGAGAGATCATGCAAGTGTACACTTTATGATGGTGTAAATTTGCAGGTATGTTGCCACCCACAGGGAAAACCTTGGAGGTGCAGCCTTTTGCACTGATATTTACTCTAAATTTTCCCATGAATAATTCCCAGTGAGAAAAAAGGTAGTTCATGGGTCACTGAAAACGAGAACATGACATTTTGCTAAGTAGGTCCTACTGCTTCAGAGCCACCATACTAAAAAAACACACAGACACTAAAATGCTACTGTATTATAGCCTAATACACCTGTACACTGATAAACAAATGCACAATCAAGGCAGGTACACACTGTATGATTTTTTTCATTCCTTTACAGAATTTGTAGATTGCTCATTGTTCATAGTGAACAAAACATTGCCGTGCAAGAAAGCTGTTGCTGTCGCCATTTACCATAATGCTGTTTGAAGAGTAGACCTACTGTAGTATGATACAATTTTCACTGATAACCAGTTGTGTAAAGTATTTGAGTAAATGTAATTAGTTACTGTACTTAAGTATCTTTTTGGCTACTTTGTAGTTTTACAGAGTATCAAATATATTCGCAACTTTTACTCTCTACTTGACTACATTTTTGAAAAAGTAATATGTACTCTTTACTCCAATACATTAATGAAGAGTAATGCAATTACAGTTTGGATGGCACCTAACTTTTTCTCCAGCAGTTTTATTTTTGCTACAAAAGAAGTGAAATCGCCATCTATAAGGTACTATTTCTTCTGAGTTTTGCCCTTACTCATCCGAACTTGTCAACATAGCTCCTTACATAAATGTGAGTGCATTAGCAGGTAGTTGCTGAATCGCAGGTGTTTCATATATGAGATGAGGAAATGCCTGCAGCCAAACAAAAAGCACATCCAGTGCGAGGAGGCTACTCTTTAATTTGACTTACCATGATTTTATTTATCCGTTATATTGAAGAGACCTTTTATATATAGGATATTGGTTTACTAATGCCCTGTTTGAGCACTTGTGCTTAACATAGTCTTGATTGTCTGTAGGCGTTTAAGAGGCTGTTGTGTCGACCTTGATTTATTGCAATATTGAGGTGTTCAGTTTTATTTCGATTTTAGAAAATAAACGTTATTGCTCTCCTCTCAATTCAACTGTTTCTTGTTTTTCACTGGCATGTCTTTTTAAGCCTACATTCAGTACAAGTAAAATACTGTTATAATCAATCAGATAATCTAAGACTTTTACTAAAGTCATATTGGATTTGGTGACTTGTAAATTGTAATGGAGTAATTTTTGTTGTAAGGTAGCTGTACTTTTGCTCAAGTATGGTATTAGGTACTCTTTACACCTCTGCTGATAACCTATATCTTACAATAACTGATAAAATAAAACAAAATTCTTTATCTGATGTATAGGCAAGACAAGTAGTTTGTTTAGGCATGGTTTGTAGGGAAATTACAAACCTGCGCACATATATTCAGACGAATATAACTATAGAATCAATTCTTAATGTGAACGCCATCAGGTCACAGGTTCGCGTTTAAAGTCTGTTTAGAGAGAACGCCGTCGTCTTAGTGGCCCCTAATTTGATAACAAATGATAATTTTGCTGGAAGTGAACCAATCAAAACTAACTTTAGCTGGAAATAACATTATTCAAAAATCGCTATAAAGCTAAAACAATCTCTGTTACCGTAAATTGTATGTTTATCTCTGTAAAGCTGCTTTGAAACAATCTACATTGTTAAAAGTGCTATATAAATGAAGATGACTTGACTTGACTTGACTGTTGTTAATTACTCTGTCGATTCAAACGGGAAGAAATTGTGCGCACATCCTGACGTCAGGCCAGACGAAGACCCTTTGGGTTAAAACATTGTTCATTTTAATAAATCCTAGGGAGCAGAAGTGGCAGTATGCCGATTCTTGTTTATTTTTAATTACTCAGTCGATCCTACTGTCCGTGAGTGAGGATGCAAAAATGTAAAATCAAATAGAGGTAAAAATCTATAGTTTTCACAAAAGCTCCAGAGCTGTCAAAAGTCCTCCGGATGACGCATTTTGCTGACAAATTTCTCGGTGCAAGTAGCATGGAGAACGATCATTCTCTGATAATAAGCATTCTAAGCATTGTTCATTTACATATACTACCAATATTGTAACAATACAAAGCGGGTTGAAAATCAGCGAAGTTACACTTTAAATGGTAGGAATTTTCGTAAAAGGTGCATTGAACTTTTTCAAGTCTGTTCACTCGGACCAAATCATGCTATACTCATAGCAACAGAATTATTAAGTGTACTTCATCGCTTTTAGCTACTCTTTCCAATCCACCAGATTGAGTAGGTGTAGCTCTCCATGTTTAACCTACAGGCATCTAGCGACTCCATTATCAAGCCTGCCACTCTTATTAATAGCACGCGCCAAAGGAATCCGAGAAACAACATGCGCTCGTTTCAGCAAAACTAACCTAAGGGCAGCACCCATCCGATACCAATGGAGACTTCACTTTCATTGCAGGACATATGTGATTTCTGCCTCCTCGGACACAGACAAGAGCACCTGAACACCTTTCCAAAACCAACACTGGCCCTATTTGAGCTTTCTCACATCCATTCTCAAATCTAAATGACAGGGTTAAGAAATTAATTTCATCAAGTGCCAAATGTAAGTAAAAATTAGCCTTCGCAAGTATACTTTAATAATTGCACTGTAATGATACATCTCAATACAAGGCGACAGTCAGACCCTAACTGGCATCAAATGATTTTCTCCGTGGAAAATTTACTTAAAAATAGAGATGACATTAAAATTTGTCTGATTCCAATAAGCAGATATTATTTAAGACGATAACCAAATTCTATACTATATAGTCTAATTTAAAAATAAAAAAATATAATTAAATATTATTGTTCCAACTGAATTTAGGTATCACAACATTATGCAGAATTAAAAATGGATATTAATATTGAGATTTGCTGTGTTATGAAATTATTAGCGATTTTTAAAATAACTTACAGTGAGTGTTTGGATGACGGCAAAGGTAATTTAAATGTAAAAGTAGGGGAAATAAGCATATACAACTAAATATCCATTTTCAAATGACTGACTCATGACAAAAATACAGATTATTCATTTTTCATAGGCACAATAACAAATACTTCTCATTAAATTATACAACAACAACAAAAAAAAGTATACAAAAAAATGGGTGTGGCAAAATGTTACTTTTGGACAATGGTTACAGTAGAAATGGCCTGGCTTCATTGTGTACCCATAGAAATGTACATATTTACTACAAATGCCCAAGTGGATACATCCATAACTAAATCAGTGTGTTATTAATAATTACATTTACCCCCATCTTCACCTCACTGACCTCACTCCCTACTCTCCTTCTGTCGACTCCCAACACTATTCATTATGAGTGAACACTAATTAGCACTCTGGATGCAGTGGAAGGAATATAAAGCGACGGTAAATATCACACTCCAGGAGGTGGCCCACCATTTCAGGTGCTTCCCTTTGCGTGGTAAGGCTGCCCCTGTGGAGACTCAGTGCCGACTTGGGCATCCCAGCATGGGTGTGCGGCGACCCCCTGGTGACCAGCAGCGTCATCTCCTCTGACTAATGCCCAATTAACCTTTCTCTCATCCACCCAGCGCTCTTCTCTCCCTGTCTCTTCCTAACGTTTGCAGATGCAGGTCGAAGAAGCACGGAAAACAGTCTGGCCACTCACACGATGTAGGAGTTACTTACATTATTGGAACGCAGAGAGACCCTTCCCCCGCACCGGGCACAGAACTTAGTCTGGCAGTATGAGCACAGGTTTCCGCAGCCATCAGCAAACTTGGTCTTGTGGCAGATGCCACAGGTGGGGGCGTCATCCTTGTGTTGGCCCTGCTGCCTCTGTTGGGGGGGCTCCGGCCCAATCCGCCTCACCTGCTCCTTGTAGTTGGCAACTTGCTGGTGCAAACTGGGAGGGGAGGGGAGGGGAGGGGAGATGAAGAAAAAGAAAGAGGACATGATCGACTGTGAGTATAATTTAGTTTCAAAATCAATAGTAGCCAATTTAAACATTTTTACCTATTAGCTTCCTAATTTTACCAGCCAATTAAAAAATTTTACCCAATAACACTCAAATTTGTAAATTTGAACCCAAAAAACTAATATGTTTACTACCACCTCCCTGAATTTTACCAGCAAATAAAAAAAATAAAAAAATTTGAATAACCCCCTTTTAACATTTTACCAGATTTAACATTTTTAACTCATAACCCTGAAATTTTATTGACACATTTTATATTTTAACTACCCACCTACCTGTTTTAACATTTCACCAGCAAATCTTTACATGTTTTATCTTATAAACCCCAATTTTTAAACTTACACCAAAAAACTGTATAGTTTTTTTTTTTTTACTTAACCTAATAACCCCATTGTAACATTTCACCAGCAAATAAAACAAATAATAATTAAAAAAAAGAAAACAATAACCCACAATTTTATTTTATTTAATTTTTGTTTTTCCTAAAATAATTCCAATATTATTTATTCAGATTAATGGTCAATATGTTTTTTTCAATGACTAATTCTTAAACTTTTATATTTCTCCCACAAGGCAACATTTGTTTGCTAGCTATGTTAAAACTGACCAATCGGTCAGCAAGTTCAATGTTTGATCTACTTTTTTCTCTCACAGGACAGAACCAAATAAACATATACAGTATATAGATCTGACGAAATCCCAAATCCAAATTTAAGGTATGTTGGGAGAGTATGTTGTTAGTAGGCAGTTTTATTCTGAAGCTAATGAACTGAAAAACTCATATTTCCTTCACACTCCAGCTCCAGCACTCAATCTTTCTTTCAGTCTAATGTTCTTTCTACCATGTAGGGTTATCTCAAGCATTCACTCACAGAATGCTTCCAGACTACATGAACGCCTTCCAAAAAAGACAATCCAAACAAAACAGTGAGTAATATACAAAATAAGACCTTTCTTTAGCGACATGAAACATACAACACATATCCAGCAATTCCCCGTCTAAACAGCGCAAAGGTCTCAAGCAGGAATCTATCCATAGCTTTACTTACGCTAAAGGGGTCTTCCTCACAGACTCCTCTGCCATGACGATATGACGTATATAAAAATAAGCAACCTACATAGAGAGTTAAAAGAATATGCTACCTACGGAAGGTGATGAATGCACGACCAGCCATGCAGAATGTGCCCCAGAGAAAGACGAGATGATTTCAACACCTGCCCCCAGCCCTAACCCCGGTCTCCCTCCCCCTGTGCACCCCTACTGCTCTCCTGTTCCTCAACACCGGCACCAGCGGACGCGTCCTATGGGTCAAAGATAAACATAAAGGACAAGCTCCAACACAGAAGCAACAAGGTGCACGCAAGATGTTCCAATTAGAAAACAAAAAAAAAATTTGCAAGTGTCTCAGAGGTTGCTTTTTCACAGCCAATGAGACTTAATAGAGTTCAATACAACACTATACATTACTTTAGCAAAGGTGCCATTTTAATTTGGGAAAACAGAATGCAACAGACAAACAATTGAAAAAGTTGTGCGTAACTGTTTGCATTGAAAGAATGTAGTGTGCAAAAACAAAAGAAACATATCTAAATATCTATAAAATATTAATATAATTAGGCAATATTAGAAATATATAGGACATTTTTATCTTCTAATTTATACTTAATTGTATCTTCTTTATTTTATCTCCTAATCTATCTATCTATCTATTGCCATTTCTTTAATGGAATGATGAAAGGAAAATTAAAACAAAAGACAAAAATAATAGGCATAAATATTAACAATATCAACCATATGAAAAAAAATGTTTTTACTATAATATTTTTTTTATTTGATATGTGACAAAAAAAAACTAAATTCCTTCCTGGTGAAAACTTTTTTTAAGATGAAATAAAGAGAGACACAAATGAAACAACCATTGACAGTTACAAAGTGAAAGGTGAATAGCACCGCTCAGATATGTTGGTGTTGAAGAAATTTGACAAAAAAACATTTGAATTCATTTTGAAACTTCTGATTTTTTATTAGACGCAGGGCAAACCTAAGCACAGTTTGATACACTGTTGAGACCTTTTCTTAAACTATTGAAGACCCGTCACATTACTGAGGTGAAAAGCTGTGAACCAAATATATAAAGTTATAAAGTTCTTTGGCGTAGCCGACCCGCTGGGAGGTATAGGAAGGGACCATCCTGGTGGTGGTGGGGAGGATGGAGGTGAATGTTGGCGTCAGCATCTGCGAACTCAGACATGTGTAAGTACCGATCTTTTATACTACGAGTATTAGATCACGATTGGTTAGATGAGAAGGTAATAAGTGACGTAACAATTTAGTCTCCCTGGCAGAACTTACGCTAAAGCTTTCATTTACAGTAGCTCTGATGAACAATGTAGCACAAAGTCAACGTTGAGATCAAATTGAGCAGCACTATTTAAAAAATAATAATCTTTCAATACTTTTATGAGAAATCGAGACAAACATTGAGCTTGGCACTGTAAAAGAACATATGAAAGTGCTTTGTATTCTGAACAGGAAATTATATTCAGGAAAGCAGCCCAGGCTTGCCATTATTGAGACAGCACATAAAACAAAGACCCATAAGTGAAGCACAAGGTTATACGAAAGTGAACCACAGCTTTACTAACACAAACCCCTCTTCCCCATCACAAATCATTTGCTTCTCTCTCTCTCTCCCTTTCTTCCAGGAATAGAAGTAAACCTTTTGTGAAATGCAAATCAGGCAGAGAGTCTGCAAGAAACGACGGGCAATTCACACAGGACTCCGGCATTAGCATAGAACTTGGAGTAATTAAGGTATGAGGAAGCTCTAATTAATGTGGTAAAGTGTGGGGACACGGAGGAGAGCTGGCTTGGAGATGCGGGAGGTGGGGCGCAGTTTTGCAGAGTTCTCCCCTACTTCATGACAGCTGGTCTCAGAGGCTGCTGATGTCGTCGGGCGAGCACATGGAAACGTCTGTAATTAAACAGCTGTCAGCAGTCGCTCGTACTAACGCACACCATGACAGGAGCCACAACTGTAACTCATTGGCTGTGCGCAGCGTTCTTGCGGAGGCATTGGTCGGGCCTATACACGCTGGCCCATTTATCATGTCCGCTAGGCCCCACGGCTCCCTACATGGGCATAAATCCACCCTATCTGTGCCAGGATGTTGTATGAAAGGAAAGACGAGGGACAGAGATGTAGTGAAAGTACTGCTGAGGTTGAGTCAGTGTAAATTCAACATCATTCACAGCAAACACCGGGACAAACGTGCATTTATGAGGGAACAGCGCACGTTGGCAGCCTGTGATGGAGCCATAAATGCAGTTTACAAGCACTAGCAGCTCCATTCATGTTCTTGAAGGGTCTCTTATGCTCAACAAGGCTACATTTATTTGATTAAAAGTACAGTAAGAGTAAATAAATATTATTACAATTTAAAATCACCATATTTTATTATGTAATTTATTCCAGTTTCACAGGGTCCTCCAGAAATCATTATAATATACTAATGTGGTGCTCAAGAAACATTTCTTATTATTAATATTGTTGGAAACACTTGAGCCGTTTAATATTTTTGTGCAAGCTTAACTTTAATAAGATTGTTTGTAATATTATTTCTGTCTTTACCTTTTTAATGCATCCCTGCTGAATAAAAGTATTAATTATACATGAAATATAAAAAAATGTTGTCTGTCAATAAACAGGTACATGCACTACTGTATAACCTATGTGTGTATATGTTTGTATATAAATATTTTGAGAACATGGATAGCTATGGACAAACATAATAGCATGATATATAGTTATATACTGTATAGCATGAAAGACAAGGAAACCTCAAAGTAAAAAAACAGCTCTTCCTTCTCTTAACATTTTCTTGAATGATGAACAGGGCAGCACTTTATGCTGCCAGGCATAAGTACCTATCGTAAGTACCTATGAGAAAGAAACGGTCTCAAGTCTTGATAAAAATGGGCTAAATTTAGCCTCTTAAATGAACGAAGCACTTTCACTCTATTGGTTCAATGAATTTAAAGGCTTCTTACGATATGGCAGCCGCTCATGTTTTGTATTTAACAGCTGTTTAACTGCATTTTTTTAAAAGGCTTTTGCTCATAAATCCAGCAATGGCTGACTTCCACTTCTCACAAGGGGACCAAACCCACTGAGGCCAAACTAGAAGAATTTATCTCGTCACCTGGAGATCAATGTTTGAAAGTGAGCGGAAATCCATCAAAGTATCCCGTATGAAAGCATCAGGAACATAGTGAGAAAATCCCTCCCTTCCAATTTAGAAATTAAGCCCCCCTTCCAGATCCATGCATGATTGATTTCTGTAGACAAACACCTGAAAAAAATGGGGTTCAAATTGGGGTTTTGCTTTTGCTGCTCTCACTTTAAAAAACAGTGAGGGTTTAAAAAGGGAAATATCCATTGAGAGAGAAGACTAAAACAAAATGTTACTCCATTTCTTGGGTGACTGAAGATATTTTTTTCAAGTTTAGCGAACCTTTTTTATATTCTGGCTGTTAAACGATAAACGACCAGTATAATAGTATATCATATTTTGTCTAAATTAATATTTTGTCTTTGTTGAAACGACTGGCACCTAACCCCCAATAGCTCCCTGGGTGCCACAGCAAAAATGGCTGCCCACTGCTCCAGGTGTATATGTCCATGGCATGCAGTGTGTGTCTCAATGCCCCTAATGTGTGTGCAATAACTTGGATGGGTTAAATGCAGAGGAGAAAATTTGAATATGGGTTACCATACTTGGCCTTCATGTCACTTCACTTCACTTAAAAATAAAACACTAAAAACTAAAATCAAGCATTTCAAAAGCTACAAGTGAAGTATGCATCACAACATTATAGAGTACATAATGAAAAATGGATATTCATTTTGAGATTATATAGCACTGAC